TCGTCAGATCACTGATCTCTTCACTTATTTGTGGCTGCAGTGGAGCCAGGGTTTGTTGTAGCCCACAACCACCAAACCAACAAGAGGAAATCCCAGAGCATGAGGGAGACTTTGTAGCAGGGAAACAGTCTGCATGCTGTGACATGGGAAAGAACGAGGTACACTGTGTTTCAGTTGTGTTATACCAGTGGTTCTCAACCTGTGGGAATTATTTGTGTTACAGGGTATCTAGCCATTTCACAGAAACAATACATATACATATAACGCAGAAGAGACCTCAAATCAAATAACCAATGAATAAAAATAGCTCAGTGCAGAGTATAAGAAAAAAACTTATACTTACATACTTTATAAATATATCTATATGATATTAAAATATTGATAATATATACTGAAGAACCTATAAAAAAAAAAACTTGAGCCGTATATTGGAATCAACGTACTTGTAAAATAAACCTAAAGTAAATGTGATTTTCCAGAGTGGGAAATCAAAACCCATCTATGGCCCATTAAATGCAGTGCCAGCAGAGGGACACAGTACCAGTAGTATTACAGGTGTGGAGGCATGGGAATTGAGCTGTGTGTGTTTCACATAAATTGAGGCTCCAGAGTATTGCACAAATCTAAAAGAAGCCATTCATCTGTCTCATACAATAGAACGGCAAAAAAAGTAAGGCTCAGTGACTAGTGCTAGTTACTCTAAAACATATCATATACACATTTTTTATGTTCCTCAAATTTCAAACCTATATTTCTTTGTGTTGGACAAACAATTTGTGGAAACTAGATGTTTTGTTCTTATCTTGGTAATTGTGCTTCCAACACATTTTTGTTCCATGGGGCCCAATCTGTCACAATGTTTAAAGGGGGAAACTACTCTGGTGGAACTCTTCACAACCCATACACATCACAGACAGCTGCTATCTGTGATCTCAGACACTGCTTCAGTACCTTGTGAACTGTTGTCAGATTATTTCAGATTTGCCTTTACCTCCCTCCCTAACTGTGGGTCTCCTTTGTGGGACCTTCCTCACTGTACAGTGATTGGATGGAAATAAATCTCTGCTCAGTAGGTGTTACAGTGGCAGTCCAATAGGTCCCCCAGGCTTTTGAAGGATAACTTATGAACGTTTATTTGGCGGTTCCCCAAAGTGGCCCCTGAAAACATCACCACACATACTCCAGCCTGTATTTCTACACAGGCAACGTGTAGAACATGGCCGGTATGAAAGAGTATACCAAACACTGAGACTGCAGTTTTTCACATGCTGTGAATACGATAGTGTTTGGATGAATGCCTGACATCCAGAGGTTGAGACTGGGGTCAGGTCGAGCCGGGGTCCCTTCAAGATACGGCACAGTGCCATGGAGTTTTCTGTGTAAGGTGACCTTATAACTTCCTGTCATACATTTTCTGAATCAAAGCTGGACTTTGGTTGTGATAAAGACAATTTTGAGAATCTGAACTAAATGCTGAATGAAAACAACCTTACCCACCTTGTGCTGTCTCTCTGAAGAAAGGGTTTCACTATCTGGGTTGGTCCGTGAGTTAGGCAGTCTAAACCAACCGGGGTTATTACATTAAAGTTAATAGTTTTTTGTAGGCCATTTGATTTTGAAGATGATACCAATTCAGCCAGATATGTCACTCCAAAGTAAGCGAGCCAAAAAGAAAAACGGCCTCATGTTTTTCATTTCTGTTGCTCTCCTGTTGGAATAGAAATGGCTTCACATTGCCCTCTGGTGGCCTTCAATGGACTGTCCTGTTTTGAAGAGACCTCTCACCTAGACAACAGTATTCACCCTCCCTAAAAGCAAATGGACATACAATACAAACTAGCTCTCGCTTTACCTTATGATGCAGACATGAATCTTGACAAAAGCCCATGGTTGGGAGGATCTGACAGTGTTCTGGTTCCTGTCTAACAATAGGAAATGAGGCTGAGCTGCTGCTGGCTGCTCTCCACAGGATGTGGCCTGACTGGGCAACAGCCAAACCTCCTCTCCAGCTTCAGAGCCTCGCAGTTAATGTTGTGAAAGCTGTAGCCACACAAAACTGCTGTGTTCACTACCATATCCGAGTAGTAAACTTTTAACCAAGAGTGACGGTCATGTAATTTTTAAGTCCTTTTTGAACAGTCACAGGGTTTGTTTATGCTGTATTAGGATATTACTGCACAACTTTATTAACAGGATTTACTTTTTAAGTCACTAATAAGACAGGCCCGGGCCTGCATTACCAATGATGCTGCTCTTATGATATTAGTTATTATTGCGTGAATCATGAAAAATATTACAGAACATAATAAAATGCATGAGCAGAATATTAATTTAATCTCGGTGTGGAGAAGAAGAGACAAAAACTATAACAAAAACAAGAGGAAAGCCAAATGAACTAGTTGTTTAAATGCTGTTGTGAGTCTAATTGTACTTACATTTAGGGACATTTTAATATCTGCTTCATCTACAGTATTTTCCATTATCAAAGGTAATAGTTATGGCATTTTGTGCTTACATGAATACATGAATAAAACTCAGACCATGACAAGCCAAAAAAACTCACATTTGATTGTTACTGTCATGTAACACTATAGTAGACATTTTAGATAATGAGCCAAAATCAATAGATGTGCAAAGATTAGACAGTTAGGTATTAACTCACATCAGGGCCTGAGTGCCACCCTCCAAAACTCACATGTATGCATGTGTGCCCATCGGATTCATTGAACTTGTGCGACCCACATACAGCAAAGTACGTTTACCATTTATCTCTTCCAGACAAGACAGCAAACAACAGCCACATTGTCATGTGGTGGAAGACTGCTGTGTGCGTCAACAGCAAAGCCCCGCTGCCGCCATTTTCTCAGAAGCATGATTTAAAAATGAGAAACGCTGGAACGCATTTTGAGAAGCGACAATACAGCTACAGTGATAAACATCTGGCTTAGACACAATTCTGCTGCTTCTCATTTAATAATTTACTGTGAGAGCAATAACTTTGATCCATCCATTTTTTTTAGTGGGAAAAAAATGTGATTGTGCTGTATCTTTTTAATTTCCATTGGCACGCAGTGGAAGGAGGAGTATGGAAACTGACAAACTGATCATCTG